AATGAATGTGGGAAAACCTTCTACCTGAATTCAGCCCTCATGAGACATCAGAGAGTACACACAGGAGAGAAACCTTATGAATGTAATGAATGTGGAAAATTATTCTCCCAGTTGTCATATCTCACTATACATCATAGAACTCATTCAGGAGTGAAACCCTATGAATGTAATGAATGTGGGAAAACTTTCTACCAGAATTCAGCCCTTTGTCGACATCGGAGAATACATAAAGGAGAGAAGCCCTATGAATGTTATATATGCGGAAAATTCTTCTCTCAGATGTCATACCTCACTATACATCATAGAATTCATTCAGGAGAGAAACCCTATGAATGTAATGAATGTGGGAAAACCTTCTGCCAGAATTCAGCCCTTAATAGACATCAGAGAACACACACAGGAGAGAAAGCCTATGAGTGTTATGAATGTGGAAAATTCTTCTCTCAGATGTCATATCTTACTATACACCATCGGATTCATTCAGGAGAGAAACCCTTTGAATGTAATGAATGTGGAAAAGCCTTCTCTCGGATGTCGTACCTTACTGTACATTATAGAACTCATTCAGGAGAGAAACCCTATGAATGTAATGAATGTGGGAAAAAATTCTACCACAAGTCAGCCTTCAATAGCCATCAAAGAATACATAGGAGAGGGAATATAAATGTAATTGATGTAGGAAGGCTTCTCTGAAGACAAACCTCATTTTATGTCTGAGTTTTTATGAGTTTTCATTTTATGAAAAAACCCTTTCAATATAATGAATAAGAAACTCCTACTGTTGTAAGTCAGAGAGTTCACACAGGTGAATGTGGACAAGCCTTTGTGCATTAGTCAAACTTGTAATCTGCAAGTTCACAGGGTAGAAATCACAGTTGTAACAAGATCACATGATTTGTTGGATACCAGACTATACAGGAGTTAAAATTTGTAAATATTTAGAACATATATATGTTTCACCGTGGATTCAAACTGTTACACATATCAGGGAATTCATACCAAGGGGAGTTCTCTCAATTCAAGGAATGTAGGAAACAGTCCTTTGGAAATTACTACTACTAAACATTATGTTTCTGATATAATATCAAGCGTTTCGTGAAAAAAGAAAAAGGTAGCTGTTGTGAATAAACATACTCCTATGTAAATAGAAGCTGTAAAATCATCAGATAGCTAATCAAGACAGCAACATAGCAACATTAAACTCATATATGAGTGGTTCCTGAGAATGTAGGACTTAATGTTTTTGAGAGTTTTTTGGTTTCTTTGTTTGCTTTTTAGGATGCTACATTACAGGAATTGTATGTTCAGTTTGAATCATGTTTGAAAAGGCATTGTATCCTTATTAGAATAATCTGTAAGATACATGGTAAGATTACCCATTTTAAATAGCACAACCATGTTAGTATCTTAATATGCATTGTCATTGAATTAATATTTGATAAGTATAAAGAATGCTTCTTCTTGAACTTTTTCCTGGCATTTATAAATGTATTTGATCATTGTTAATGAACTAAATCTTCCATAAAGAAGCCAATTTTTTTATAATGTTTTCAGCTGTATCTGAGTCAGCAAGAGATAGAAATCTATGCATAAAATAGAAAACTGCAGATAATTTTAAGTTGTTAATTCCAGAAGTCTCCAGTAGTGAGAAATAGCTGTAGTACTGTAGTACTCATTGTACTCTATACAGTTAAAAAATGTATTTTAAATATTCCCGTTTTTATCTAATATTTTTCATCTATTTTTTATTTGGATGCCTATGTAAGTGTAAGTGTGCAGAGCACACGTACAATGTAACTTAGGAATTATCTGTATTTTTATTTGATACAATAGTGTTTTTAAACATTGTGCTCTACTCCTTCCCATTCTTGAATAAATTAAGGACACATTCATAAGGGTTTGTGGCAGACATCGTTGAGTGACTACTCTAGTCACTCCCTCCTTAGTGTTTGCTGGCAGAGTTTGGGTATCCATTCCTCCTCACAGAACAGGGGATAAATCCTGATTAGTTTCAACCAATAATGATAATCCCTTTCTCATTGCCAGCAATTGGTTTAGAGTGGTCATAAGACCCAAGTCTAGACAGATAAACAAAGGAGATATCGGACAGGTTATTTCTGGAAAAGGTTTCCTCAAAGATTCAACGAATCATGCGAGGTAAAGTGGAATCTTCTGTTGAACATTTCCTTGTCTGGATGTGATGCCTGCTTATGTCTTTCAACCATAAATTATAGTTTAAGCATGGCAGAGCAGCAAAAGTGGAAGAACCTGGGACCTGGATGATGTTATTGAGCCACTGAACCAACCAGCTGTGTAGCCACTCCACCTCTGGACTGTTTCTCTAGTGAAAGACTAGAAAGACTAAATTTATTTTAAGCCAGTTTATTTAAGTTGCTCTGTTAGTGATAACTGAAGGTACAAAGGTATACTTTTGTAGGAGTTATGCAGTTGAGAAGTGGACTTGAGGTAAATCCTTTATTTTGAGGTGTTGATATAGAGATTTATTTTCTGTAAATTTTGATGTAAATAGTTTGAGCATTAGAAATCAACTTGAAACAATTAAATGTGTATGCTTCCTTGAATTGTTATATCATTGATGTAAGAACCTTTGGAACCTGATATAATGTACCTTGCTTTTCATAATGTATGACATCAGTTTTGTTTAGGTTAATCTATACCATTCATGGATCGTTGCTACAATGTTGGTTGACAACATATGGTATGAGGTAAGGACCTACTTTTGTTTGCTTTCCAGTGATTAACCTGATAGCCTGTATTATTTGAATAATTTACCCCTTACCACTGAGATGAAATGCCATGTTTTTCATGTATTTCAATCACTCGTGGCACCTGTTTTTGTTGCTCAGCACTTTTCCTCCATATTCTTCTAGATGCTTGTGAGTATGCTACATAACAGGAATTAAAAGTCTGGTAGATGGTATAGTTTTGTGTAGGAACTATATATTCATAGTATATTTGTTGAAATGATATCTACAAAGGTTTCCCACACTAGTGTGTCATTATAGCTTAAATACATAGTATGCATTGTAAGTAAAATATTTGAAAAGTTTAAGTGGTTTACCACATTCTTTTTCTCTTACGGCATGCCTGCACATAAAAGGGTCCTGGTACATATGAGTAGTCCCAAACTGCCTCTTCAATAACGTAGTGATGTAATTTGTTCATAGTTTCAGAGATGTCAATGTTGTCATATTATACTTCTTTGAAATTAGGATCGATAGCATGTTCTAATTTGGCATTGTTTTTCTTCCTTAGAACTACTTAAAATAATGGTTTGTCTTAGATTTGATGGAATGCAATATTTGAAAGGTTTTTAATTATTCCTGGCCAGTGTGTAAGACACACAAGGCCTGAGTTCATGCAAGACAGCCCTATGGGGGACTGGTTCAGTTTACCTATCCTGCAGCAAGGACTGAAAATGGAATTGAGGCAGAGCATGAGTACTTGCTTTTTATACACAACGGCTCATAATTTGGAACGTGAGCAGATTAGGAACCTGAGGGATTTTCAAGGGCTGAGCAGGAGGTTGACCCTTCCTGGTGGGTGGAGGTGAGAGTCCCCAATTTTTTTTTTTATCATCCTAGGGTTAGTGAAGTGGTGGTTCACTTGTTGCTTCCATGGCCTCTCAAATAGGTTGAAATGAAGACGTGGTGTTAACACCAGGGCTATATTCTATCTGAGGTCACAGAGTTACCTTCTCTTTCTTCTTCCATCTCAATAGTCTGGCTGGGCTGTCCAGTCAAGCTCCCCAAAGAAGGCTGTATAAGCCACATGACGGCACCCCAAATAATTTCCAGCTTTATAGAATGCCTCCAATTAAACAAAACAAGGAAATGCATTTTAAAAATTATGTTGCTTTTTTCTTCTTATCACAGAGATAACTACATCACAAGTAAGTTGCTTTTCCCTTCCTTGAATTTAAAGTCTGTGATTCCTGCCAAATTGATGGACTAGCACGAGTTGCTGGCTTGTAACCATAGCCCAACTCTGGAGATGCCATAGAAGTAAGAGCTGCTCATGGCTGCAGGGAACTGAAGTGAAGGGGAACCTTCAGGAGAAGACGCAGAGGTGGTTCTTTAGTGGGGGAGGTATTGGCAGCCAGAGACAGCGGAGAGGCAGGTGCTGAAGAAAACTTAGATTGTAATCTTTTTCTACACTGTACTTTTACTCTCCACTGTCGTGTCCCAAGCACATTATTGCCCACCATGGTGCCTTCATGAGACAGGAATGCAGGTGCATCAGCTGGGCATTGCAGGGGTGGTTCAGGGTCCATGAGAGCAGACCCTCCGTCCAGCTGAGATGAGGGATGGACACCACAGACACAGGTAGAGTGTCAGCCTGGAGCATCCTCTCCTTGCTCCAAAGCCAAGTCATTACAGTAAGTGGGCATGCTTTTCTGGAGGAGGTACTTTTGGTGATCATGTAAAGTGCCCAGAGGGAGAATAACCAGTCAGGAAAGGGGCTTGTCCCAGTTGGGGGAGGCTTTCTCTTCTGTAACACATACTTCTACTTAAACCACCCTGAGGAGCAGGAACTAGGGATTACACCTTCTCCCTGCTGCTCATGTCGGCTGAGATTTGTGGATACCTCTGAAAATTAATTCCGAAAAAGTAATCAGACGTGAGGAGTTTACTAAGACAGCACACCATACCATCTACACAACTGGCAAGCTTAATGGGATGTGGAAATCCAGATTTCAAAATTTTCTGAATAGACATCCTTGGTGAAAAGTATATTGGTGATATGAAGCAACAACAGAGAGTTACCAAAAAAAGGGGGGCGGGGGGTGGGCATGAATAATTGGCATAAAGCAAATAAATAGATGAGATTAATAACAGAATTGATACAGCCAAAAAAGAAGTTAGTGGACTGTGTGTTATGGCAATAATTCTCCCAGAACACCAGCAAGAATAAAGAAATGCAATGTGAAAAACAAAAAATTGAGATGTAGAAGATAGTAGAGAGAATAATATCCATATACTGGGATTCCCATAGAAAAAGAGACTAGATGGGAAGAAAATATATAAATTAAAATTTTAAGTTAGAAAGAATGAAATTGAAAGGAGCTTCTGGGGGCCGGCCCGGTGGCGCAAGCGGTTGGGTGCGCACGCTCCGCTGCGGCGGCCCGGGGCTCGCTGGTTCAGATCCCGGGCGCGCACCGACGCACTGCTTTGGCAAGCCATGCTGTGGCAGCGTCCCATATACAGTGGAGGAGGATGGGCACGGATGTTAGCCCAGGGCCGTCTTCCTCGGCAAAAAAACAGGAGGATTGGCAGATGTTAGCACAGGGCTGATCTCACAAAAAAAAAAAAAAAGAAAGGAGCTTCTGTGGTGCCAAATGGAAAGATATAGAAAATCTCATCAGTCCGTAAAGGAAAATTTGTTTAGCCTAAAGCAAGACCAATAACTAGACTATATATCTAGCAAAGTAGTAAGAAAAGGGCAGTACATCCAATAGAAGGGATATGACAGCACTTGAAATCATTAGTAATGAGAAAATGCAAGTTAAAACAACAAAATACCCCTTTACACTCACCAGAATGGCAAAAATCACAGCGATGTATAATAAATATTGGTAAGGATGTGAATGGTAATGTTTGTGTACTGTAGAAGTGTGAAATGATATAGCCATTCTGGGAAACCTGGAAATACCTTTTAAAATTAGTCATGTGTATGTGGTACTCTCATCTGTTTGTATATCCCAGAGAAATTCTATACACATGAGGATGTGTACACAGGGAATTTCATCACAATGTTTTTGAGATATTCTAGGTGAACATCACTAGAAGAGGTAAGTGGATCAAGCAGTGGAGTGCTGTCCAGCAGTTAGAAGTACACACTATATTTGCATGTAGCACTTTGATAAAATGTTTTAGATATGAATGGAAAAAAATAGATGGAATGAGACTTCATGTAACTAAGCAGTATTTGAGTTAATTAAAATTACACAAACACACACACCCCTACATAGGTTACAATGGTATGTGCTTAAGAGTGTAAATTTACTAGTGTCAATGCCTATGTGGGAAGGGAATGGAATTGGGGTTTAGTATCAAGAGAAAAATTAGGTGGAGTAAGAATGGGGTCCATGCAGAAACCAATGTTGATAATAAATATGTTTTGAACTGAGTTGTATGATAAACACTGTACCACAGGACTCTTCCGGAAACAAACACTAAAACACACAGAAAAATTAAAAGCCCAGAGAAATTAAAATCCTCAATAATGTTTTATTCTGGTCAGTTTTAGCCTGAGTTTTACAGCTCAGGTGCCTAAATGATGTCTGTACCTTTTTTGGCACCTTCAACCCAAACCAGCTTTCAGTAAAATGATCAGGGCTGCTCCATCTGTTGGTCACTCTGTACTTCTAAACATCCTTCCTCTGAAGAAAGAGTACCCCACCATGGAGGATCTGCCGCAAGTTACAGAACTCAGTGTAACAGAGTGGACTGCCAATTGTACTAGTGTTACCCTTCTTTATTTTTGTAAGAATTTCCCCCTTCCCTCCAGTGTC